CAGACGTGTGCTCTTCCGATCTTTTTAGGAAAACAATAAAAGTAATACAAAATTCGTTTTAAGGCTTTAATAATACATGTCTTTAGAAGTAAAAAATATTTTTTTCATTAATTTTTTTAATAAAATGACGACGCTGAAGCCATTTTATTTATATTTAGAATAATAATTTTAATGTTTTATGTTTATACCTATCTCATAAGGTAAATCTATCTTATTTTAATGTTAATTTTAATGTTTTATGTTTATACCTATCTCATAAGTTAAAACTATCTCATAAGTACATAAGTGCCCTATTACATGTACGAAGCTACCCCGCCTGAGAGGTAAATTCGTACGATTTTCAAGTTTTGTAAAAATCATCTACGTTCAGTTATATATTAATTTATTATTTTAATGCATGTTTTTAGTAGCTGGATTTCTAAACTATTTATTGATACAAATTTAAGTAGTGTAAAAGCATTTAACACAGTTTGGGAAGCAAAACTTCCAAAAGCGTACGAAGGATCCCCATCTTGTCCTAATAGATGATCGCAAGTTTTAAGTGAACAATGAATAAATTAATGAAACATGTATAATACATACAATATAGCGAGGGGGTAATCACTCAGAAAATATATATACACTTGGACTTCCTACTTCAAGACTTCACTGAACTTCACGGATTTCATCGGACTACTGGAATTTATCGGACTACACCGGAATTCATCAGACTTCATCGGACTTCGTCGGACTTCACTAGACTTTTATAGATACAGTTGCCACTTTTCGAGTTTCTGTCTAGAAACATCGGCGAAATTTTTAAACAAAGGCCATAGCCGGATAAGAAGGGGGAATCTGCCTCCGCGCCGATCATGACCATTTTTTACAATTTAGTTGCTATCAATATCAGTTACAATTTTACCAAACATTAGCTTTTAATATTCAATCGTTGGAGTGTGAGAAATAAAAATCAAAATTTAAAAAAAAAATTATATCTTTTAAACAGCTCAATCAATTTTCATAACAAAATATATGTTGTAGATGTAGATAAGATACATTTGTAAAAAAATTTTGAAGATTTTTTGAGGCCAGAAACATTGCAAAAAAATAAAATATTTTTATTTATTTTTTTTAGCTATCTTATTGATCTTGTACCATCACAAAAATTTTGCCGTAAAATTATTAGATGTTATTTTATAACATATAATTTTTTCAAATTTTTGAAATAGGTACTTGATACTTAAAAAAAATATTCTTTTTCTGATTTTTTTAAACCATTTTATCGGTCCACTACAAAGAACTAACTCAATTTTTAACGCATAACTTAAGAAATGTATAACTAAACATATGTGTATATAATACCTTTATTCAATTATGGGCACATTCTCTAAAAATTGTGCAATTAAGTGACTAGATCATAGACATATATGTCTATGACCATAAGACATATCATATCATATAAGACATATATGTTTTATATGTCTATGGACTAGATATTACAGAGTTATAGAGTTTTGTTTTGATGTTTCGGATTTTCATTTTCTTTATTTTACGACTATAATTTACGACTAACGTCATGCAATTAACTTGATACAAAATAAATAAATTTGTTAGAGGCTGAGATAATATTTTTCGCAATAAGTTTTTCGTAGGTTTTTTAAGATGCTTAATCGCATCATATTGAAGATCGATTTAATTGTGATCTCACTATTCCGGTTTCGGTTTATGATTGCGTTACAAGCACGAAATTAATTCGGCGCACAGTTTAAAATAACTGAAATATAGAATTAAGATTTATATAGAAATATTATTAGGTGCCAAGATTTAGCCTCGACTGTTTAAGGCGCTTTCAATTGAATTGTGTTTTTATCACTTACGCGGTCTATATCCTAATTATTGTTTATCATTGTTTGTTATATGCATGATATAGTTAGAAATTGATCTTTGTTTAAAAAAAGTGGAATAACTGCTAAAATTAGTTAAATTGATTGTCCGACTGAAAAAAATTGAAACTTCGCGACTTAAATTACGCGAACTCTATAACATTAAAGTTTTATACTATTGTTTGCAGATATAAGATCGGAGGTAAGTAATTATATTTAGAAACAATTCAATATATGTCAATCGAATACATTTAAGGCCGAAAAATAAAAAAAAACCGATTTTTATTTTTTTCGTCACATTCCACCAAATAAAAAAATCTGAAAAAATATCGAATATAATAGACATAGGCATAAGACTTATCTACTGAATTTTTTAAAAAGTGGTCAATTTTTTAGATCTAGAGAAAATACGATTTAAAATATTCTGAATTTTTTTTAAAACAGAATTTTCAGCACAAAACGACAACAAAATTCAAACTTATGTATATGGATAGCCTTTGTAATCATGAATTTTTTTGTAAAGATTAATTTAAATTTGGCAGAGAAAAAAATATAAAAAAATCACATCTCTTGTGATATTTCGAAATTGTGTGGGTCTTTTGAAATAAAACTTTGCACAAAATTTTCTTTTATCTGGGTGGACATTTTGCCTACTATGACGATCGATTACGCGCGGAGCCTGAAATCACCTCCTTAACCCGCTATTACCCTTTATTATAGAATATTTTACATTCATTGTGTATACATATTTACAATTATTATAAAAATTAAATTAATATTTTTATCATTTCTGTTAAGTTTCCTAAATCGTATCTAATCTAACCAGCATAAGAGTTCTTATATCGTATCGATATAATTTAGGAACACTAATCTATCTTTATCTTTAGATCACATGACATAATCAACATTATTTATTTTAACGATCGAAACTGTTCTGATAACAAGTCTGTAGAGAAAAAAACCGTCATTGAGTTGCGCGCAAGCAAAACAGCTTTGTTTGATAAATTACAAATAAAGTTGGTATTTATGATTCTTTTATTAATCTTGTGTTTTTTAATTATTTTTATTCATAAATTCAATAGTTTGAAAAGAGATATTAATAAAGTTCACAGGTATGATTTAGACGGTACCGATTTGCTGACTCGTGCTTTCTGCAGCACATCACAGAAAAGCTTATAACACATTAATTTGCTGTTAGTAAAAGGTTTAATATATGATAATAGGTACCTTAAACATCAAGCTATAATTTTTAACATTTGTTTGTTGGTGCGTCGTAAGCGCCATAAAACTATATATGCGTCACTCATACACGAGTCTAAAATCGAAGGTTCGAGAGAAACGTCGGAGATGTATACATGCACTCACACATACAAAAAAGACCCTTTGTTCACGGAATTTATCTAATAAGTTAACATCCTGGCCATTCCTCCGCGTCTCGTTGTCGCCAACGCTATGTGGTCGATCTTACGTGTCGATCACGTGGACCAATAAAATTTAGGAAAGGGCGATTTTGACGATTACGTGGAGGGTCGCCGTCGCTGGGCAAGCGATGAACTCGGACATTCGTGTTGTAGTCGGACTTACAATAGCATCCCGCATCTCTGACGCGAATCTCGAATCGCATCAGAGATGCGAGGGACTAGGACTCAGGGCGAACACGTCGCCCTTAGGCGTTGTCCTAGCGCGACTCAGGGTACTCGTATCCCTAGGCGTTGTCGCGATATACACATATATACCAACAATTTCAATTAGTGCGATTCAGGATAAATTCGTTTACCCCTAAGCGTTGTCGCAATATTTTACTGTGAATTTCGAGTCAGTGTAAAAATCATAATAAACAGATTTTCAAGCGAAACTACGTGTGTGGATATTAATTTATCCCACCGATCCACAATCCATTTTGGTGCCTCCTATGAGGTCTCGTCGATATAAACGACCGAGATACAGTTCATCGAAGATTTACAGAGAGATTGGTCATCGACAAGGCCACTGATAAAAGCAACCAGTAATCTTCATAGTTTCCACGGCCTTCTAGAGCTTCGAAACGATAAGCAGACCGCTCGTCAAACGAAGTGCCAATTAACGTGAGTCAATCTATCTTATTTTCGATACATATATCATCACGGCTGATAGAGTCAAATTTCTATTACAAAACGAACATCCTTAAAATTCCAAATCACCGTTCTCTCAAACCTTCTCGATCAAGATAAATTAGATAACGCCACATTAAAACTGCGCATTGCTTGTTTAACGAATCTGCATCACGCGTTCGAGGAACATAATGATGAACTTTCCGTGCTTGATTCGATCGATGCACATCAGAACGAATTTACAATAATTCAAGAACGATTTTATTCTCTCGCGGATAAAATTGAAAATATTATTAATGTCGCGAATACATCCACGGCCGGCGTTTCAAGTGATGAGTTCGGATCGACAATGCCCCGACGGAACCCGCGGTAGTTGTACAGAAAGGAAACGTCGTATCAAATTACCTGACGCGTCTCTGCCTACATTCGACGGTAGTTTCGAATGTTGGTTATCATTTAAAATGCATTCAACAACATGATAGGCTTACAGACAAA